GTAGTGTTGTGCGAATATTCGAATTTTCGTATAGTAGTTTTGAATAGTATTGTATTCGATATTCGCTTCGAAAGCAGTTCGAACTGTCCGCAAACTCACGGTCGCAAGTTTGTTTACTGTCTAAAGACCAGAAAGAAACGATATCTAAAATCAAGAATATACTCACACGTTCGGCAAAATGGTATAAATATTACGGTGGGAAGTTTGAAATATATTCATCGCACTTATTTCATGAACTTCTTTAATAACGGGCAAAAGAAACCGAGCAACGAACTCCAGAGATGCCGGCGCCATCTTCCCCAATCTTGGCGCCCTGGTTGCCAGCACTCTTTTTTCACCACCGCCACGTCCAGACAAATTTAGAAAAACAAGTTTATGGATAGAAATAAATACCTTTAGAAATTTCTCATGACATGCATAATTGCTCAGAAACTTTTATTTCCTATAAAACTCATAAACACGGTCTCAAAACATTTCAACTATAATATTTCGAAGGAATATTATATTATTACAGCGACAAGGTGAGTGGATGACATCGACATGGTCAAAATGACGGCAGACAAGTCGGTTGGCAAGATGGACTAACGACAGCGTGAGAAGTCCAGTTTGGAAGTATTCCTGCCAACTTTCCCTCTAAAAACGGCCGAGCTTTTTGGACGGCAAGTAATCCATATTCGATGAGAAAATATTCGACCAAAATCACTGTTCGCTTCGAATTCGGTTCGAGTTCAAAATCCACTATTCGCACAACCCTAGTCAAGAGTCGTGTTCTGCAAAGCCAACCAACTTCGGATGAGCGTCCACCACCACAACATTGCCGTCCGCTAGAGTAGCGAGCGCTGGGGTACAATTCATGAGATAATTACACGCCCAATTTACCCGTGAATCTGTGGCTGGCGTGACGTTTTGAGTGGAAGCGGTCGACTAGAGGGCTGCGATGGTTCAAACATCGTTGAGAAGCCACCTTGTATTCGGACAACGGTTCTTCCGAATTAAGTATCGTTGAGAAGTCATATGTATCGGTCCTTCTTCCGTGTCGTGCAGCGTAGTGTCGATAGAGATGCAATCGCACGAGTTCAGTTGACGTTAAAAGAAAAAAAGAAGCCTAGCACTACTCTTTGTCGCGGACGGCGGTGTTGCTGTGGCGGTAACGAGGCCTCCGTGGCCACGAACATGAAGCGTCGTCATGTTCCTTGTTCCGACGCCCTTATTGGGTCGTGAGGGCCAGAGCCACCACAGTTCGCTGAGTTATCATGAAACGGAGTATAATCGATTGTTTTAGTTACCAAAAAACAAAGTGCTTTATTATATATATTTTATTTTTATTTTTTTTATTTTAAAACTCGGTGATTGAAAGAAACAACCCTCATATTGCGGATGTCTCTAATTGAATACGGTTGTTTTTCTATCTCCCCTTGAATCGACATTATGTTCTTTAAAAGCAGAATGTTCGTGTTACACCTTTATCACCAACAAAATAAAAACGCAACGTCCAAACATCGAAATCCTTAGGTCTGATGGCAATTTCGTTACTGCTTCATTATATAAATGAGCGAGCCGCTTTTTTTGACTGAGTTTAACGGGTGGCACCAAAAGTATGGGTCACGTGCTTATATGCAACTGAAACAAAAGTACGAAATTATGCCTGCAAACAAAACTATGATGTATTTTATGCACGCTCATACAAAGTGACATTTTAAACAGCTTGAAGATGCTGTTTAACAAGAATTTACACGACAGCCAAAAAAAAAAAAAGAAAAAACGAACGCAAAATATGTGCAAGTTAAGTTTTTACGTGTCATAATGAGGCTGTAGCGAGACAGCGCACTGAAAGCAAATCGCGGATTTTGAAAGCTGTGGCCAGCATATTTCTGTCTTGAAAAATATATTTTTAATTATTTATGATAAATACGTACAAAACGGGCGAAATCAGCTTAAGCTTTAAGACTGGGAACGCAATCGAGTCGCCTATTGGTTAATACTTTATTACAATATTCTCCGACTAAATCCTTAACATATTACTCAGTGAAAAGAGGATACCAACTTTCAATTTGTCAGGGTATCATTTTTGTTTTTGTTAAACTTGATACCCATAATTCAATCACTGCCAATATTCCCGCCGCTCTTCATGGCATATTTTTAAACATGCACATAAGGGCGAACTGTTTTGTCACATTAAATATTTGCTGCTTAACTTCTTCCTGCAGAAAATTTCTTGTTAACGACGTTATGTTTCTCAAGGAAACAAGAGGGATTTCACGCAAAAACACCTCGCTGCTTTCCTTAAAGTTAATCTTATATATATGTTAATCTTATCTGTATGAGTGAAATGAATGTTTGTAGGCATTTTATTAAACTTTTTTGGATTAATTAAATGGAACTTAGCAGCTCGCAACGAGGCCTTTAAAAGGTTATATGTTTTTCTCTCCCCTATGATTCCATTTATGTCAATTAAATCGATTATTAAAAAAATATGGCTTCAATAGAACGTACTATTACTGGATCGCTAGCTATGCGAATCACTGCCATCAAGTTTTCCAAATGTATTTTGTTTCAGTTTTTCTACCAAATAATCAGTTAAGGGTCACAAGATATTTTAGAGTCTTTTACCCTGACCTCATTCGAAACGCATCACCGGTTTCGCGTATCCAACATGTTTTAAACATGCAATTTACTGACGTCGATATTTTTAGTACAAACCTGTCTTTTGGAGAACGATCATTTTGATGCATGTGTTTTTAATTGGCATATATACACGTTTGTGTGCTTGCATGTTTTTTTTTTCACAACTCTTTATTTTGTCTACTCTGTATTTTGGGTGTATTTTAATTGTGTGTGCTTAACCCAGTAGGCTTTCGAGCTGTTGGTTAGCACAAGAGAAAAATAAACATTGATTGCTTGATTGATTGATTGATTGATATTTGTTAGAATCGTTCAACTGGTGCAATGCACTACACAGATTGATACAAAGGTTCTAAAAGGGTACACTATAGATTAAAATTGGGTTATGTTTTATTGTTTGAGATAAGCTGCCTGTTTTCTACTACTCAATTTTATCGGTAATAAATACATTTCGAGATTTTTTTCTATTTTGTTTTTGCGTTACCGGATACTGTGAATCGGTTGTAGACAAAGTGATGAAAGAAAAAAAAATAGTGCTGGTCGTCCATTAAAAATTTTAACCCGATTAATCACCACCCTTTAATCGATTATTCGGTGGCGTTTCTTTCGTGCATAACATTATAAAAAGTCAAAATTATATATATATATTTATATATATATATATATATATATGTGTGTGTTTTATAAATTTGTAATAAACGGCACAATTTCGCAACTTTCACTACCTATAGGGGGCGCACTGTCGCCTACCAGAATGGCTGTCATCTGGATGATCGTCGTAAAACAGCAGTACGAGGCTGGGTCTGGGACGCGTAAGTAATTCTAGTTTTGCTATATACGAGCAGCATTAGAGTCTTACTTCATCTTTTTCACGTCAAGAAAGTGTAGGCAAGCACATTTATTGTGAAGCCAATCATCCAGGAGCTATAAGGAGCGCGATTCTCACACCGCGTAATCGCTGAATGTTGCGAATGCAATTTCAATTAAGAATCAACTTCAGTGTGTAGTTGAGAACAGTTCGAAGAGACTCACTCACGGATGCTGCAGACTCTCACACTTTAGCTGCATAAGGCAAAGGGGTTCGTTGATACTCTCCGGCAAGAGCGACCTCCTTTTATTGTTTGCAATACTCTGTGCTGCGCTAAACGGACAGTCGTACTGTGTTGAAGTGGCCGGAATATGTCTGACCTTTTACACCTGTTTGGAGTTACAAGTCTCGCCCCTACAGATTAGTTTAGGTTAAACTCTCACTTGAAGTTTGCCCTTTATACAGGTGTGCTCGTACACGTCTGCTTGCTGAAACGTCTAAATTTTACTTTGTGTTGGTTCGTGAAAATTTTACCGATTAACCGTTAAAAAAATCAATTGATAGCGATTAAAGCATTATATGATCGATCGGTAGACTAATTGATCAATTGCTCAGCCCTTAGAAAATGGGAATACAAACGAGCACAGCTGAATTTGTTCAAAAAGGGGCCTTCTTAACTCTCTTCATTGTAGCATGAGAGACTCAACCTTTTCACCTAATACCAGAAGCGTGTATTCGGGACGCTACAGCTGCGAAATAGATTAAGCAAATATAACGTTCATAAAAAAAAGTAACCACAAGAAACAGATCGTTTGTTTAAAGTGAAAAAAAGTTTTTCTTAATAAAATCTGGTTAAGACAGGCGTAAGAAGTAAAAAATGTTACGCAAAATTTTTTTTTTCTTAGAGCAATATTGACGGCGCGAGACGCTATTTAGTTGGTAGTCGCCTCCATTCCATTTGTTTTCTTTTTCGGCGTTTCGGGCGCTTAGAGGAGAAGAGGTGGTTCGGCTTGGCCTTCACGTTAAGGTCGAAAGAGCGAATGACCATTCCGTGACGTTATGAACTTTGCGCGTAAAATTTATTTCTTGACACGCGTGTCCCAATTAGACTGTTTAAAAAACTTTTTTTTCTTTTCAGGGGTTCTTTAACACGCTAGTGTAAAGCATGCATGACACGGAAAAATAAAATTATGTTGAATACGGTTGACTTATTCTGCAAAATAGTGTACAAAGTAGTTTAAAAGCAGTCAGTTCCCCTGAAATATGTTGAAATAATTTTTGTTTTCAAATCAGAACTGCCTCATTAGGGCTGTTGAAGCTGAGACAGCCGAAGCTAATGCGAATTAAAAAAAAAATGAAACAAAACAAAACAAGAAAACTAATCGAAGAAACCTTTATTCAATTTTCAGAGGAATTAACAAATATATTTCAAACCCTCCACCCGCTTCGATTTTTAAATTATATTTTGTCTAATTATGACTAACGTTCAACGCATGTGTTTATATGGATTCGCTGATGAAGCAGGCAATCCCAGCTACCTAACAAGAATGTTTAATTTGACTCGGTTGTTTCAGAAGCCCCCACTTTGTCCCGACGAGCCTCCACTTCCAGAGGATCCCCCGCCATAACCACCTCCAAATCCTCCTGACCCTCCTCCCGAGCTACCTCCATATCCTCCTCCAGAGCTGCCTCCTGACCCTCCTCCAGAGCTACCTCCATATCCTCCTCCAGAGCTACCTCCATATCCTCCTCCAGAGCTACCTCCAGAGCTACCACCTAATCCTCCTCCTCCGGATCCGAAAAATCCTGAACCGCCACCGGATCCCCCTCCGAATAACCCTGAACCACTTTCCCATCCTCCGGAACCGCTACCGGACCCACCACTGGAGTCGCCTCCAAATCCACCACCGCCTGAGCTCCCGCCCCCACTTCCAAACATACCACTGTATCCGCCTCCGAATCCGTCGTCAGAGTCACTTCCATACCCACCTTGGGAGCCCCAGCCCCTCTGGGGACCGTATGATGTCCAGTAAAAGTATTGAGGACTGCTACGCCAGCTCCAGCCGCCTTGCCCTCCTTGTCCATTTCGACCTCCCGATCCGCCTCCTCTTCCACTGCCGCCCCACATACTCTGACTACCCCATCCCCCCTGTCCACCCTGTCCATCGTATGAGCTGCTCCATCCACTCATGCCGCCCTGTCCTCCTTGTCCATTTTGACCTCCCGATCCGCCTCCTCTTCCACTTCCGCCCCACATACTCTGACTACCCCATCCCCCCTGTCCACCCTGTCCATCGTATGAGCTGCTCCATCCACTCATGCCGCCCCGTCCTCCTTGTCCATTTTGACCTCCCGAGCCGCCTCCTCTTCCACTGCCGCCCCACATACTCTGACTACCCCCTCCTTCCTGTCCACCCTGTGCATCGTATGAGCTGCTCCATCGACTCATGCCGCCCCGCCCCCCTTGTCGACCTCTGCCGAATAAACCTCTTTGTCCGAGTAGGCCACCGCCTTGTCTACTGGATCCGCCTAAGCCAAACCTTCTACCTAACCCACCCCTCCGACGACTGAAGCGGCTTCTCATTCCGCCAAATAAACCCAATCCTCCACTCGAGCCTCCGAATCCGCCGCCCGAGCTTCCCGATCCTCCGCCAAAAAGTCCCGATCCGCCGCCGGAACTGCCGCCAGATCCTCCACCGCTTCCGCCGAACATAGAGCCGAATCGCCCACCAGACGTACCAAGCCTGCCACCGAGCCTGCCCTGTCGCCTTAGGCTGCCAAATAGACCTGAGCTCCCGCCGAATAGTCCGCCTTGACCTCCTCCTCCTCCGGACGAACTACCTCCAGATCGACTTCCTCCGAAGATACTTCTTAAACCGCCGCTTGACCCGCTCCCAAAACTACCGCTTGATCCGCCCCCGAAACCGCCGCTTGATCCGGCCCCAAACTCGCCGCTTGATTCGCCCCCAAAACCTTGACTGCCCCAGCTACTTTGACCCCTGCTTCCTCCCTGGCCTGGGTAGAATTCCCACATACCCCGGCGTCCCCCTCTTCCGCAGCGACCGCGCCGACCGCGCCGACCGCGCCGTCTTCTCCAACGGTCAAACAGGCTGCCGCCTCCACCGGACATACTATCGCCATCATCTCCAAACAGTCCACCGCCAAGCATTGAGCTTTGTCCTCCAAACATTCCTCCGCTGCTGCCCTGGCCAAAACCTCCGCCAGGTCCAAAGTAGGAACTCCACATGTCGCCGCTTTCTCCACTGCCGCCGAAGCCTCCGCTTCCAGATCCTCCGAATCCCCCGTCGTCTCCGTATCCTCCGCCACCTCCGGATCCTCCACCGCCTCCGAATCCTCCGCCACCGCTTTCATATCCTCCGCTGCCGCCTCCAAAGCCTCCACTGCCGCCTCCACCGCTGCCGCCTCCGCCGCTACTTCCATAGCCGCCTCCGCCGCTGCTTCCATAGCTACCACCGCCGCCTCCTCTATAACTACCACCGCCGCCTCCGTAGCCACCTCCACCGCCACCTCCGTAGCCACCTCCACCGTTGCTTCCGAAGCTACCTCCGCCACTTGAGCTTTGTCCACCGAAGGTTTCTCGCTTTTTGCGTTGACTTAAGTTCTCCCGTGTCTGTCCGGAACCGTAGTATTCTGACTGCTGCATCTGCTGCGGCTGCCCATATTGTGCGTTCCGTTTTGTCCTCAGTGTTGCATCTGCAAAATCACAAAACATTATTAGAAAGTATACATTGAGCGAACATCGGACTGGCTTCCTAGAAGTCGAAAAATAACATTTCAAAAACTCACTCCAGCAGAAAGGAAACAGAAACGAAAAAAACAGCAAATCTGGCCAATCAAGTGTAAACTACGATAAGTCAATTTTCTAGTTACAATGCGTCCTAATAATGACTATAAAGATTTTAAGCCCCTAAAAATAAGCATTGAAAAAGTATACTAGTCGCTAGCAATCTGATGGAATTCTGTGGGAAAATAAAAACGAACACAATAGGACATTTTTTTTAATTATTAGAAATCCATATAGCAGATACTTTCAATAGTTCCCAGTGAAGCACGGCGAAACATCTATCAAACACCAAAAAACATTTTCTGTCCCTTATTACATTCGTCTTGAATGTAACTTGGCAAATAGACAGCTCTACAGTTCCGTTTCCCCAGTGAGAGCGACAGAGCGAATCACACGACAGTTTTATCCAGGAGGAGGCTTATACTCCGAAAATGTATTGTCACGCATCTTCGGACCGTACCCCTTGCTGTTTACCAGGTATGCTGACACGAAGCGTAAATCAGGTTGCTAATATTTTACATTATACAAATATGCTATATTGATCAGTAGCTGATATGTAGCCAGCAGGCGTGCCCATCTGATGATGATTTCACTCTTTTTATGAGTTAACGAGAAGAGGTATTATATCTTCATATACTATTATCATCCTACCATGATATTATCGTACCACGAAATTACTGTCTCAAACTTTTGCTGGCCTGGTCGTTCGATTGCATGCAGAGTATTTGTGGTTGATGTAAAATTAGTAGCTATTGACATATTTAAATCGTCACTGAGTCAGTGTTTCATTCTTCCAAAATGTCCGAAAGTATAGAAACGACAAAAGACACAACATTTCTTTCGAGTCCTTTTTTGTGTCAGCTCTCCTCACAGTATGAATGTAGAGAAACGTGACTAGAAATCCCGTTTAACTTGAGTTTTTGAATCACGCTAAGAGCTGCACAATTATAGTAAATGTTTCATGTTTCTAAATGTATAAAATTGCTTTGGTAACCTGTTATATCACAAGTATATGATATATCAAGTCGTCATGTCTTGCTTAGAAGTGTTCATAAAACACGAGACAAATAATTATAAGTGGAAATTTCTGCAACCCACCAAGACCACACACAGAAAAAGAAAATCTAATTACGCCAGGCGTTATTTATTGATTGGATGCAGACATACATTTTTTTCTAAAAATATTTGAAAAATATCTTCTTTTTTGTATTTGCGAAACGTTTTAACTACTCATTCAGCAAAGGAATACTACGCTTCTCAGAACCGGTAGGTTAAATCAGTAGTGATGACCTCATTTGATTAGTTAGACGCAATGTAACGAAGACTGAAAAAGTTAGACTAACGCACGAAACACAATTATTCAAGCGAGTAAAATAAAAGAGTTTAACGGTCTGACTGTTCTAAAGATTCAATCCGGTTTGTTGCATTTCCCATGGTGGAATAAACAAATAGGTCGCACGTTAGCTAAGTAAGCTCAAATTTATTCTCTGATAGTTTTGTTCATAGGCAACTAAGCATGTCACTTTCTAAGTATTCATAAGGTCTTACAAAAATAGTAATGCAACGTGTTATGAAGAAACCGATTTTTCATGTGTGCTAGGACATTTGATCTCCAAAAACTTGCAGTGAATTTTATTTAAAGAAATGAATATGTGCATGAACGGCTGTTTTTATTTTATTGTGAGCGAAAAAAGCATTAGTGCGTTAGATTTAGTGAAATAGTAAAATGTTGCTACTGTTACCAGCTTAAAATACTTTGTATATTCTTAAAATCAATGTCTGCTGAATACCTAGATTTTAGGTTGATTTAGAACGGTATATGTGGGAATAGTACATCCAAAGCCGCCGCCTGCGTACATTTAGGAAAGTCTCTGTTAAGAGAGAACCAGAGTTATAGCTTTATATTTAGAGTTTCTGTGCACATTTAAGATTGCCCCTTTGTCTTGAGTATTTCCTATTCATGTCTAAAAGAAGTTTTATTAAAATATACACGGTCTTTTTGGTACCTCTCAAGATAGGTTTTAAACGTATAAGTACACACACCCACGATAAAAATAATGTTATTAATGTGAAAAATATTTCACGTACCTTGTCCGCCAAGTTCTCCCAGTGTGCTTCCAAATCCACTGAAAACTAGAAAGACAAAGGAATCAACGTGATATTTGAACATTCAGAGTGAGTCCTGCAGTAAGCGAAATTTTTATTTTGTTTAGGCATTCGTCCTGAATTACTATGACTCCTTGTCTCCGGCTGGCAAGAGGGCATACGCAATGAGAGGTATAGTTACTGTTACTTTTATTACACTATTTGCTTGTTACCTACAGCAGTCTATGCGACTATGGTTACATTATCTGATAATAGCAAATGAAGCTTATCTGAGTTGCCGGGCCCTCAATTTGTTTTTATGCTTCAGCTGGCTACGTTTGTAAAATGTGGCAACATAAATATATTCACAGACTGATTATTTCTAACATATAATATGTTTTAGGGTAAGCAATGTGGGAAAAGAGCGCCATGATAAAGCGACATGAAAGTGGCGTCATCAGCCTCTCGTGACCTCGTGACGTGACATAATGCTTTGGCCACGTGATGTAGAGTTAACCATAGTTTTGTTTAACCCGAGACTGGGGTATTTCGGAAAAGGGGACGAGAAGAAAAGAGGCCACAAGGAGGCGACGTCGCGATGTAGAGTGTTGTGTCATGTGGCGCGTCTCGAGACTCAAGGGTACTCATACGAGATCGCTTTTATACGGAGACTTACACACTCATGCTGCGTCACGTCACATGGTTTACGTGACAAGATCAACGTGCATTACGTTACTTGATGCAGCGTCACGAGGTCGATGTGCCAAGGCCAACATGCGCCACGTGACTTGGTGCGGCACAAATATGCACGTCTCGGTAGAAACAGGGTTGCATCGACGGTAAAAGCTCTATAATTAACAAGGGTGGCCCGGTGGGACCTATGCAGAGAACCATAGCATTTTACTAAAACTAACATTCTTTGCTGCAGTAAAAAAGGGGGCGCGCCAGTTTTTGTACCTAATTATTTTGGCCACATCGAATTCCACTTATAATTGCTCATTCTTTTTATTTGCTGTCCACCATTCGTAAAACAACCACTTTGAAGTTCGGCTCAAATAACGTCGTTGCAGTCCCAAATAGCTCAGCGAGGTGCGTGTTCGCGAAGGTTTTGATTTTATCCCCTTTATGGTTAAGTAGAGTGCCTCACAGTATGGTGGCACAACTGCAAAACACAAGCTGCCTAGCATTCAAACTCTTTCTCCTTCTGATCTTACATGCAAGAATTGGAGGAGAAAGGGAGGGGAAGTGGGTGGAGGCAAGCTTAACTGGGGGCTGCGAGACGCGCTTGAATCCGTAAAGAGTCGCATGTAGCTCTCGGGCCGCAGTTTGGCCACCCCGGCTCTTTAACATTTTTTTATATACCAGAATTTTGTGAGAAATTACTAAAACCGGCTGCAAGTATTTTTGTCGATGAGGCACCCGATAAGGTGCACAGCAGCAATTTACAAGCATGCTATCATCAAAATCTCTAGTCTTTTTTAGAACCACTTCACTCTAGCGCCAAAATGGGGTGTTGGGAAGTCACTCTCTAATTGCCCATTCAACACGCCTATCGCATATAAAAACAGCACCACCTTTTGACACGGGATTTAAGTTCAGTCAGACGTACCTTTTTGACAGTGCACAATGAGTAAAGCGAGTTTTCTTATTTTATTTAAAAAAGTAAAAAAAATAATAATCTTGCACTTTTGACAATAATAGGCCAAGTTTGAATCGAGCTAGCCTTCGGACAAGCTTGAAGAATGAGAATCCTCCTCCGAAACGTCCGATTAAACTATCCAAGTTTGCTTGAACCTGGGTGGCTCTTTTACTCCAATGCGAACACTTTCGGCTTCCCACAACTTGGAGATGTCATATATATATATAAATATATATGACATCTGCTTGTAACGTGACCATAGCATTTATGAAACACATAATGTACCATTTACTAAAAATGAGGCATGACTGGTGTGTTAAAAATAAAGAAAAGTTCGTGCACATGTCTAGTTCACTTATCGAATCTTAAGATTCACAACTTTTCTTTAAATTAACTAATTGAAACGTCTTTCTTTATTTAACACGCATAAAATAGTTTCACAAACCCCTATGTCAGGCACTGAAGGGGCGAGATAAATTATTTTCAGAAACCTAGCGGGCCGAGTGCGAAATTGTGCCTCTTTCTTGCGGCCGCATCTTCACGTATACTGGCGAGGCTCGTTTAAAACTTCTTTACTTTCTTTTTGTTTGAGGCAATAACAAATCATACAGATAAACGGGGGGAAGTGCATAACAATACATAGCAGTTTTAATATGTTATGCTAACAGTAACGTTTATGGTGATAAAAGAAAAAAAGTAATTTAAAATAGGTTATCATTACTTTTGAGGATTCGATTTATTATTTTTTTTTACACAGCGCTTGTAGACCCGTACTATTTTAATCCTTCATTCACAAGGTGGCAGGATTGAATGTTCTTCACAAGACAAAGAATAGTTACTTTTTGAATATGCGAGGCATGCTGCTTCACTTTTGAGGAGTGCAATTCCAGGTACTTTCGGGGACGCTACACGAGAAAAATCATCAGCACTTCCAAT